GAGATCTTGTCTGCCAGGGACTCACTGGATCTCCCTGACAGGCTTTAGTATAACCAAGAGGCTGTTGTCACACATGTCATGTTGGAGAGGCATTTGGCTCAAAGGAAGGTGTGTAATTGCCACCGTGCCTTGTGTCACCATATAGGTGAGCAATCTGGGCTGCAGGAAACAGGAGGGTTCATAATCTTTAATGTTTTAGATAAGATCCTGCCTGATCTGCCCTGGTCCCTGGCTCAGGGACGTCTCCTGGAAGTGGGCCCATGGTCTGGTGGTAGGCATGAAAAAGCAGGTCACCGCCGGCACAGGGAAATCCCACAGCCTGTCCCAGTACAGACCAGTGCGTGCTGAACAGCAGCCCAACAGTGCAGTATTTGCCCTGTGCAGAGTGAAAAAGGAGTATGTCCAGCACACCTGGACCATGACCTCTCCTGTCTCTGGCCTCGTGTTGAATGCTGATTGAACTGCATGCTGATTTTGGCTAAAGATGCCTTTTCCCAGCTCTGGGATCCCTGACCATCACTGAAGTGGCTTCCAGGAAGAGCTGGGCCCTCCCCACCTTGGATATTTTGAACTCGGCTGCAAAGCCACAGCTCTGCTCTGAGTCTGCTCCAACACCCGCACAACCTGCAGACGCTGCCCGGGCAGCAAGTAAAAGCGGCAAGGCCGGGGCACGGGGGACAAAGCTGGGCTGCCTGTCCCCTCCGGGCTGCTCCAACGGGGCTCTTAGATGCCTCTAGGGAATGACCGTGAGTCACACAGCCACTTCTCAGAGCCACGGGAGGTGGCATTGCCCGGTCACCTGCCTGGTTCAGGCCCAGGTCAGAGAGGGTTTCTCTCGCAGCCATAAAGCGAGCCGGATGCCGAAGTGCCAGCTCACCCCGTCTCGCCGTCCCCATCCCCAGGCCTGGCACTCACCCACCGAGCCGCAGCCGTGGTGCAGCAGGTTGTTGTACCAGCCGTCGTAGCGCTGGACCTCCCAGGAGATGTTCTCCTGGGCTCCTGGAAGAGATCGGACCCACTCGGTGAGCAGCGAAAACCAAAATGCATGCAACGAACGTCTGCGTTACAGAATTATATTTATATTGTGATATTTTCCCTGTTCTTTCTGAAACTTTCTGCACGGTATTCTAGACAAGTTTTGCACTCCTTTTGAGGGATAAGCAATGTCTAAAATTAGACATTTATGCTTGTGATCCTGATGGTCCCAAATCAATTTCTGGCCCCCACCAGTCTACTCCCAAGTGATTTTCATTCTCTCCTTCTCTTTCATTGTATCAGAAGAAGTGTCTCCTTATTTCTGACCCCACACAATGTCCATGCAAATCAAGCAAAGGCCTTGACACTGAAGTTAGGCTCTGCTCCCTGCATTGTGTATCAGGATCAGCCTTTGTCAATAAATATACACTTTGTTTCCTTTGTGTTAAGTTGTATTGCTTTTATTATAATACCAGCAAGAAGCTCTAGCTCATATAAACAGCAGTAGGTGAGTCTCCCAACCTGCAGGCTCTTCTCTTCATGTTCAACATTTTGTTCCTTTTTTTTCTTATCTCATCACAAACTGAACCATCCCCATCTCTGAGATGATGCCCCATGAGTTAGAGGAAATTCCTCTGAGGGGCAGAAACTACCCAGGATCTCCCCTCGCATCGCCCTCCCTGAAACCGTACTTACTCCCCAGGGTCCACAACCCCAGCAGAACCACAGTCAAACTCAGCATCATCTCTGCGGGTTGCATCAGCCACCGGGTCTTCGGAAGCAGCGACCTGCAAGCGGAGAGAAGGAAGGAGCCAGAGCTGGGCTGCTCCCAGAGGCTGGGAACACGCACAGACCATCATCTCAGCTCCCTCTTGTGGTTTCTGCTGCCTAGTAAATCCCGGCTGCCGTCAACTTCCATCACCCGCTTTGGGCTGGGGGAAGGGGGCCCGGTGACCCCCCATCACCCCGGGGACGCTCTGCCAGGAGGTGCCAGCCGGCCTGAGAAGACCTTTCTGCTGGAGCAGGACCGGTCCCCCCGCCTCGGGGTACCCCAGCTGTAGGGTCACAACTCATCCTCCACGGCAGGAAGCCGTTAAGCTGTGCCAGCTCCGTTACAGAAAACACGCTCCTGGCGACAGAAACAGACACGTTTCAGCCGACAATTCCTCGGCGCACGCATTGTCCCACCCAAGCAAAATCCAGCTGTGAACACAATGGGAACAGCCTCGGCGTCCCAAAGAGCTGCAGATATAGACGTCTTGATCGGCTCTGGGCCAACTTGAGGGCACCCTCTCATGACCAGCCTTTCTCATGATGCTTTGCCATCTCACTTGCCACAGGGGCCCTGGATCCAGAGCAAATTCCATCAGTGGGACCTGAACCTTTAAAACTCTGGCCAACGCCTGACTGAAGAGAGGGATTCCCAGCCGTGAACAGTGAAGTTTTTCGGTCATAAATGCTACAGTGCTGCTGCTGGCTTTCCATGCACAGGAATGCCAAACTTGGATTTAACTCCAAGGTAGGGTTTTCCACTAAATACGGCTCTTTGTCCCTTGTTCCAGCACTGGGGGGGTGTATTCAAAGACTAGCACCATTCCAAAGGAGCTGTGTTGCCAAGAGATGCGGCGAAGCACAGGTTTCAGCTTCTCCTACGTTGCTCTGTTGCAAGCCAAAGTGATGCTTTTAGTCTCTTTTTATCATTGTTTTAATCAAAACTTAAAGAAGTTGTGGTTTCAGAAAGGCTTACACATTGCCAGCAGCTGTGTAGCTTTTATTTGTTTGCTGGGAACTGCAGTAGGTATTTTTCACTTATAACTACCAGTGGCGCAAACTGTAAAACGTGAGTCACAAAATACACTATCCACTTGGCAAATTAAGTGGTTTGAGGTTTAAATATAGTCATTTGCGCTCACATTAATTACGTTCATAAAACTGAACCCTCATTGCCAGCTTGTAAGCGACTCCCTTCTACCAGAGATTTCTCTACTTCTGGCCTTTTGCATTAGAAAACAAGCTGTTTCTCAAGAAGTGACATTTCCACTTTCCTCCTCCATCATAACAGCTCACCTGAACTCTACACCTCACAAAATGTTATGACAGGCAAACCACCTTGTTAGCTTTCCATAAAATGATTTTAACAAATGATATTACAGGCAAACTGCTTTGTTAGCTTCCCATAAAATGGATTTAACATTAAATCACTGTTGAAATACATCTGCACTGATTGCGTTTTCGGTTCTGGCCTCAACCTCCATGTGCACGGGAGCTGGGGCTTCTGAAAGCCCCAGAGAGCTGAAAGCTGCATCGAGCGGTGTTCCTGGTCACCCAGGGCCACTCCACCCTCCTGGAGCACGGCCCCGTGGAAGGGGCCCCACAGCTCTTCCATCCCACAGCCCTCTCCTGAACGTGGTCTTGGAGACGTGAGATTTGGGCTGCGCAGCTGGTGGGAACCAGAGGCTCCGCGAGCCCCATCCCATGGGAGGAACATGAAAATTTGGTGTGTTGGTGAAGCATGGAGATGCCTACGACCTCTGCCAGGAGTGGCAGAGCCCAGGCACCATCACCACATGGGGACTCTCCTGCCAGAAAGCTCTCCCCATTGAAACAGCCTGTTTGCTGCTGAAACCGGGGGGGGCTGCGCGTCTGGAGACACCCTGAGCAACCTGCAGAGTTGTGGTTTGCTGGCGGGGGGAGGTCCACGCCACCTCCCACGCTGTAGGAAGGGTCTTCCCACAGACACAGCCGGATTTAGCTCCTGCTGACTCAAAACGTACAGAGTTGCGATCCCCACCTGGAGCTGAGACCCGAAGCTGCTGCAGAAGATTTACCAAAATCGTTGGGGAAACACGAGGCAAAGCCACATCTCGAGGCACGTCAACACCGTCGCAGCATAGCATGCCTCCCCCTTCCCCTCGAGTCTTCTTACAGGGCTCCAGCAGAAAATGTGTTTTAAAATTCCTTCCGACACTGAGCGAGCCTCCCGTTTCCTCAGATGTGGGAATTACTCCTGACCCCAGCCATGAGGCGCGTGGCTCCACCGCTCCCCGTGGGTGCGGACACGCGTGACCCCATCCCGTCCTGTCCTCACCCACGACCCAGACACGCCCCCCCCCGTCCTCCATGCAGGGAGGGACATGGGTGGCCCCAACCTCCCGGTGCCCCATGCAGGTGGGTGCCCCGAGCAGGCAGGGACACCAGTGGCCCTTGGTCCCCCCACGCAAATGGAGACAGGTACCCCCCATCCCACCCTGTGTCCTCTCCCCCAAGACGGCGGGGACACCAGCAGCCCAGCACCCCGGTTCACATGCAGCCGGGGGCACGCGTGGCCTCATCCCATCACGCAGGAAAGAAACGTGGGCCCCGACCTCTTCCATTCCCCACACGTGGCCCCATCCCAGCTTATCCCCAAGGCGGGAGGAGACGGGAGTAGCCTGATCCCACGCAGGTAACAGCGTGCGTGGCCCTGGCTCCCCATTCCCCACGCAGGGAGGAGGGACATGCGTGGCCCCGATCCCCCAGTCCCCTTCCCCCCCCCCCCCCCCGCAGGCGGGGACACGGGTGGCCCCGATCCTCTAACCCCCTCGTCCCTCCCCTCCCGTGCAGGCGGGGACAAACGTGACCCCGACCCCCCAACCCCCCTCCCACGCAGGCGGGGACATGGGCGGCCCCGACCCCCCCAGCCCCCCTCCCACGCAGGCAGGGACACGCGTGGCCCCGATCCTCTAGCCCCCTCGTCCCTCCCCTCCCACGCAGGCGGGGAGGGACACGTGTGACCCCGACCCCCCAACCCCCCTCCCACGCAGGCGGGGACACGCGTGGCCCCGATCCTCTAGCCCCCTCATCTCTCCCCTCCCACGCAGGCGGGGACACGCGCGGCCCCGACCCCCCCAGCCCCCCTCCCACGCAGGCAGGGACACGCCTGGCCCCGATCCTCTAGCCCCCTCGTCCCTCCCCTCCCACGCAGGCGGGGACACGCGTGACCCCAACCCCCCAGCCCCCCTCCCACGCAGGCAGGGACACGCGTGTCCGCGGCCCCCGGTCGCGGCGCTCACCTGCGCGGCGGGGCGCGGGCAGTGGGACGGGGCGGGCCGGGCCGGCACTTACATAGGGCTCGGCGCCCGCAGCGCCTATAAGATCGCGGAGCGGTGCGGAGCCGCCCGGGCCCCGCCAGCGCCGCAGGAGGTAGGTCGGTCGGTCGGTCGGTCGGTCGGTCGGTCGGTCGGTCGGTCGTGGGCAATGTCCGCCCCCCCCTTTCCCCCCCTCCCCGGGGCTCCCCGCTCCCGCCCCGGCCCCTCCCGCGCTCCGGGGGCAGCCCCCCCCCCCGCTCGGCGAGGCTGGGGGGGGGGGGGGGGGGGGGGTGATGCCTCCCCAGCGGGAGTTGTTAACCCGCTGGGTTTCCCGAGGCCGATTTGACCCTCTTACAACGGGGGCAGGAAAATGCAGGGGGTCCTCCCCATCCCGGAATTTCAGCTCCGCTCAGTCCGTTTCCAGGGGACGGGATTTCCCTTGTTTCCGCGGAAAATTGCCAATCTGCAGCCCCGAGCAACCCCCGGGAGGATTGCTGGTGGCTCTGCCTGGGCATTGCCGAAAGATCATTTCCAGCTCCGTTCGTTCTGGGGCAGGAAAATGGGGCTCCTGTAAGGAGAAACTGCTGCGCTTTGGGCAAACTTTCTGCCTCCTTTGCTTTTCTCCCCTGCCGGCCCGGAATATTTTAAACAAAAGATAAATTGTCCATTGCACTTAAATCCTTCCTTGAAGATATCTCTAGTCTTTTCCTTCTCCGTGCACTGTGACAGAGGAAACCACGGGGACTCTAGGGACGCAGCCATGCTTCTGCACGGAGGATGTTTTCCAAGTTGCAACCACTTCAGTTTCTCCTGCCCTGAGCTGCAGGCACCAGTTCTCCCTCCACTTCAAAGCTGCACAAATGCCAAGGAGCTGGTCTCCTGTGCAGGGTAATCGAGTGAGAAAGATTGGGAGGACAGCAACAGAGTCGTTTGACTGGAAATTCTCTGTAAAACTATTCCTAGAAGTTGCAAAGTGTAGAAGAAACGCAAGCATCCCTTGATATTGTTTGCAAGTTAAATTTAGATTTAACAAGGCAACATTTTTCATGTCATGTTCTGGGTTTTCAGTTGTTACGTGTTGTTCATCTGTTTTAAGCTGTGAAAAGTTGCGTTGCTGTGAATACAGGCTTGGAAATCATTCCTTCCCTCATTGCATCTTGTATGAATTTGGGGCAAAGATATAATGAAACCAGTGGAATTCGAGAGATCAAGATTTAGCTTGTCCTAGGCTAAACTGTTCAGTTATTTCTTCTCTTGCAGCCTCCCGGACTGTTCTGTGGGCACGTTTGCTGGGCTGGGGACCCCGCTGCTGGACTTCAGCCCAACATCGTAGCACTGGCAATCGGTTCCAGCTCCTGCTTGCCAGGTAATCATAGCAGGAATGTCGCTCAAAGGCTGCCCTTCCCTGGGCTTGGCTTTCCAGCAAAATCGCCCAAAACAGTTGCAGCAAAACAGTCCAAAACAAGATTTGTAAGTGCACATGATAGTTCTGTTAGTCCGGAGCAGAGAGTCAGGTTAAGGTCAGGTCCAGATCAGCTGCGAGCCAGTTGGAAAAATCCACTCTCTGATAAACTGTTTGCTGTAATGATCTGGGTTACCGGACAGAGAATTATTCTGAAACCAAATCTTGCTTTTTGCATAGAAAAGTGACTTCAGGTGCCCAGGTAAACTGTTTTGTAATATTTATTATAACTCTAACCCACTTCTAGGGCTTTGGAACCTGCTTTTTTTGTGGCTGAAGTGGTCTGGGTTGGATCTTACCTGAAAATACGATTAATATTGTTTTCAAAAAATGAGAATAAGATCAACTCCTCCATGCAGGGACAGAATGAAATTGTATTTGGTCGTGAGTCATATTAGCTCTGACATTCCCTGACTTTAGAAGACTTCCTGGGGTTGTTACATGCAGAGATGCTATCAAATAAGCAAAATAAAAGGACTAAGCATGTAATCAGTTTTGGTAGAAGAGATCTAGCCCAGGAACGGGGAAGCTCTGTAATTGCTAGAACTAAAGTGCTGGTGGGAGTTCAAAGCCAGCTGTGGGAATGACACACTTCTTTGTCTCGTGTAACTCAGTGTCCTTTAGCCTTGAGACGTGCTCCCAGTGTTTGTGTGCTCCTTGGACCCACATCCCAACTTCACTGGTTGCTTCTGGCCCCTCTGGACTAAGCGCAGGATCAATCCTCCCTTCCCAGGTTGTACTTTGCAGCTCCTGGGGAAAAGCCTCTTCAAGCAGAGGGGGTGGAAATGGGGGGGGGGGGTGGGCTTTGTTCCTCTTGGCAATGGTGGCTTCTGGCTGGGGGTAGTTTTGCTACTGTGAAACCGGTGTTCTCCGTGGCTCCCTGTCATTTTGGAGGGAGGCTGCATCTTCTGGTGGTCTCCCACTCGTGGCCTTCCCCTTCGGGTGCGTCGCAAAGCGGAAAGCCCTGGCTGCATCATCTGCTGGAGGGAAAGGCCGGGCTCTGTCTGGGGAGGAGCTGCTCACCGGGTTTCTGCGCTTGGGCTGCTCCTCAAGCTGCAGCAGGACAGCGGCTCAGGGCTCCCCGGGGCTGCCACAATCCCCCCCCGCCCCGCCCCGGGGCACCTCCTCTCCTCGGCTGAGGGCTTTGGGGCGACGCGTTTCTCTGCTGGGGAGTATTCCACCCTGCCTGTTTCCTTGCAAGGCTGCGTTTCCTTGTCCCTCTGGGAAGTTTTGAGATGCCACAACCACCTCCCGCCGCTGGTTGTGGCAGAGCCGAGCTGGGGCTGGGCACCGCAGGCTCGAGGCGGCCGGGCAGGGTCCCCGCTGTGACTGCCTCTCCCCCGCAGGCTCCTGGAGGTGCAGGATGACTCTCTTCGACGGCGTCTACCCCTTCTACCCGCAGCAGAGGAAGGCCTTCGTGTTCGATGTCAGCACCATCATAGTGATTGTGGTCTTCCTAACGTTCGCCTGCAGCTTCCTGCTCATCATCCCGGGCATCCGCGGGCGCGTGGTGCGTGACCCCTCTCCCCGGGGATTAAGCATCTGCTCCCCATGGTTTGGACGCTGGGATACTTGCGGCTGGTTTGGGGTGAGGCAGGACAGCTGGGACTCTTCTCCCCTGACTAAAGTCCCACCTCTCTCTCCACAGAGACTGTACTGGACTCTCCGGGTTCTCCTCAGCCTTGTTGTGGGAGTGGTGATCGTTGGTAAGTGCTGCACAGCCCTTGGGGGGTGGGTCTGGGAGCAGGATTAAACCCCAAGGCAGGGTCTGCGTCTGGGAAATGTGAGCTGGTGGTCACAGCCGTGGCCTGGTTGGGGCTGGTTACAGGGTCTACCCTAGTGCTGCTCTGCAAAGCAGTCCACGCAGCTTCCCAAAAGGGCTTCCCCATCCCCGGCACGGGGGCTGTGAGAGCGCCTGGGGGTGCCCGTGGTCACTTCTGAATCAAGAGGGAGCGTCGCTGGCTGTAGCTGCACCGTGGAGGTCCAACAGCCCCAGCTCCGGTGGGCTGCACAGCCCCACGTTCCTCTGTGTGCGTGAGCCAGCAAGGGCAGGAGGCAGGAACAACCACAAAACCACAGATACAATCACGGAGTAAATCTGGTTTTGTTTCCTCGCGAGCCAAGGGATCCCTGAAGCGGTGCCTGGGCAGAGGCACACAGGCGCAAACGCTCGGTCTGGAGGATCCCCGAACCTGCTGTTTGCACCTGTATTTCAAGGATTCACACAGGCACAGCTTGCCACTGTGCTTTGATCTTTCCCACAGCAGAGCAGGAATCTCTTAAGTCTATCACAGGCCTACGTTATCTCCACGCAGGTGTTCTACTTGTCCAGCACACAAGGCTAAACAACAATTAGTATGATATATGTGTGTTTCTGCACCCCAGCTGCAAGTCACTTGAGCGTGTTTTCAATCCTCCTCACCGTTATTTTCCCAGACCGTGCAAGCCCTCCTGAGCCGCCGGCGGCTGAGGGAGCACGGCTGGGCAGCTGGGTTGGTGGCCAGGCACTTTTGGGAGATGAGAGGAGCCTCGCGGTGACGTGGAGAGAGCGGGTTGAAATAAACCACGCAGGCAGGACAGAGGTTGGGGTGGGGTAGGGTTAAAGACCTTCCAAGGAGCAAGGCAGGAGAAGATGAAGGAAAGGATTTCATTTAGTAGAAACCAGGAAATCTTCTGTAATAAGTGGGACTGGTGGTGGAAAACAAGCTGTGGGATTTCCAACTCGGACAGGGTGGTAGGGCGGGTAAGTGAAAGATGTACTGAGGGGATAGAAGATGCCAGACGGGGAGAGCAACCAGCCCTGACCCTAAATCAGAGAAACTATCCTGCTGTGAAGGACAAGGCAGATTACAAGACTGCTCAGAGGGGGATGGTGAAGCACAAGATAAGTGACTCGGCTCCCAATTCAAGCAGGCAATAGAATTAGGTAGCCAGGCTGTGACCAGCAGCAGAACTCTGCTGGGTGACACATGGGCCAGTCCGGCATGCGGTGGTTCCCCTCCACCTGGGCATGTCCAGGTGCTGGGAGATGCCACCAGAGCTGCCCCGGAACATGCTGCCAGGCTGGAGATGGCAGAGGGGTGGAGATCAGGGCTTGCTCCACAGCCTTAACCAGCTCAGCCCTGGAGAGCCGCTCTTGTTACAAGGATGCAGCTGGGTGCTGCTTGGGCACACAGGAGGAATTAATTGTTTTAAAGCCAGCGTCAGGGTTTCCGTCTGGCAGCAGCGGGCACCCTCGACCCTGCAGCTAGAAAATGTTCCTGCAGAGATGCTACTGGATCAGTGCCCTTGCAAGTTGACTCAGCAGCTGAACTTACTTTTGGGCAGATTTTCTTCTTCAGCCTGAGATTAAAACATCACCTTCGCTTTCAGCTCATTTCAGTGCTGGAAAATGAAACCCACCACAAAGTGAAAGTGTTTCAGAAAAAGGATACTGTCTTCCGAAAAGCATATACCAGAAATGCTTCAATTTTTTCTCTCTTTCCCCAGCTGAAATGACTGTCAGAGCTGTGATGGCCCTTGCTACCCCTCTCCACCACCCCCATTTGACAGTGAGCTTCACTATTCACTTACAGGGTGATCTAGGGAGCTTAATATTTGGAATGATACTCACCCCTGTTCCAGAGGCTGGGGAAAAGGCTCATTTCTAAGCCCTGTCCCCAGGGGCTGCGGTGCTCGCCGTGGCGAGAAGCTTGCAGGGAAGTCCTGGAGAGGATGTCCAAGGAGGAATCTGAGCTCCCTCGTTCCGGGATGGAGGGAGTGGGTGCTTGGCGAGGGGAGGACAGGAGCTCTGTCAGGGTGTGGGAGCAGGTTGAGGCACGTCACGGTGGCTGAGTCAGCTCCCCTGCCCTCCTTAACACTCCCTTGCCCGTAATCCCCACCTCAAGCCCAGCAAAGCCCGAGACTCTTTAACTCCAGCTTTACTTTTCCTGGCAGCTGTCCAGTTCACAGGGGACTGGGAGACCGGCTGGGCAAAGGCGAACACCTCCTACAAGTCCTTCAGCCATGCCCTGGTGAACGCAGACATCGGGCTGCATGTGGGCCTGGCAGGGGTGAACGTCACGCTCGTGGGTGAGTCTGATGTCCCCGTCTGTAGCTCTGGAGCAGCCGTGGCCCCAGGAGGTCTCCGAGTGCTCTGGGTGGCCCCGGGCTGCGTGGAGGCTCCCGGGACCCTGCTCCCCCCTGGGGTGCCCGTGCTCCTGGCTGGCTGCTGGGACGCAGCACGACCCCCATCTCCTCCCTCCGGCAGGAAACCCGGTGAATCAGCTCAACGAGACCATCGACTACAACGAGCACTTTACGTGGAGCTTCGGTGCAGACTATGACCACAGCTACAGCGACGGGCTGGAGAGGGGGCTGCCCAGCCCCATCCTCTACGTGGCGGAGAAGTTCACCACGCAGAGCCCCTGCGGCGTGCACAGGCAGTACCGCATCTCCAGCCACTACGCCTCGGCCACTCTCTGGTGAGCCTGTCCCTCCTGGTGCGGGCAGGGGGGGGGATGCAGGGATGTGGGAAGGGCTCTGCTGCCGTGTCCCTGGGCCTCTGAGATGGATGGTGGGTCGTCCGCTGCCAGGAGGAAAAGCCGTATGCGTGGAAGGGTCTGCGGTCAAACCAGTGGCCCTGTAGGCACCTTGGGCTGAGCAGATAGGGGGTCCTCGTTCTGAGCTGGGCACAGGAGGGGAACGTGGTGCAGATCCTTGCTGTGATGTGGTGATGATGGCAGGGGGTCCATCCCCGCGGAGGGAGTTGGGGCTGCTGTCCCCTGTGGCCCAGAGAGGCCCACGGGCAGGTGCAGAGCTCCCATCCCCGTTTGTGAGCGTATTTCATGTCTGGGAGTGGGATCAGATGGGGAAAAGCTGATGATGCTGTTCTTGTGGGGTCAGTCTCAACTCTTTATCAGGACCTGCTGGGCAGCGACACGTTGCTGACGCGTGGGCTGAGGGAGAGCTGGTCCACAGCTGTCAGGAGATGGTCCCCTCTGCCGTGGCTTGTGGAGGGCAAGGGCTGTTGCAGTGCTGTCCCCCCTGTTCTGGGCTTGACAGCAGAGATGCAGAAGCTAGGAAAGGGGCCTGGCAATGCCATGGAGCAAGAGCTCCTGGCCCATAGCCGAAGGCTTCCCCTGACACCCAGCTCCTCAGCCAAGTCCAGAGCTGCTGCAAATGACTTATGCCTGTTTCTGCAATTCTTCCAGTCCTGAGCGCTGCCGTTTGGGGTCTGCACTGCCCCAGACGTGGAAGGCCAGGGAGCTGAGATGCTCTGGATACACTGAGTGGGCTGCCGTGGCCTCCTTGAGGCTGGTACAGCCTGTGGGCTGAGCGATGGAGAGAAGCAATCCAGGCTTCTGCTTTCTGGATGCAGCGGTGAGAGTGCTGCACATCTGCCTGCTCAGCCTGGAGGCTAGGGACACCCCAGCCTGCCCACAGAGCTTCTTGGTCTCGCATAATGCAACCTGGAGCCCGAATTCCTCCACCCACATGGAAATCCTCACATAAAGCATCCTATTCCGTGGTACTTGCACAGCTCATCTGTCGGTCTTCTCTTGTCTCCAGGGTGGCCTTTTGCACTTGGCTCATCGCCAACATGCTCTTCTCCATGCCTGTCCTAGTCTATGGAGGCTACATGCTCCTGGTGACAGGGGCCTTCCTGATCTTTTCATTGCTCTCGTTCTCCACTGTGAGGAACTCCCCGATGTGCCCAATTCAGTTTGGGATCGCAACACTGCGCACAGGCTATGGGGGATCTTTCTGGCTCACGCTAGCAATTGGTAAGGACACCAAGCTCTATCAGGGCACACCACCTCGTTCCTCTGGGTGTGCAAGAGTCCCAGTGCTTTCCCCCCAAGAAATGGAGATGAGCAAGCTCAGGGAGCACAGCCCACCAGAGCCCCAGCCCGTGCCTTGGCAAAACCCATCCTTTGCAGAGACGTGGAGAGGCCTGGCAGAAGGGGGAACACCACCCGTGTTGTTGGGCAACAAGATGTAAAATAATGGCCATTAAATCCCTCGGCCCAGGCTTTTCCTGGCTTCATGCTGTCAAGGGAATCCGTCATCTAACCAGAGAGTCGGCGCCAGAAACGGAGCAAGTGCCATAAGCACCTCAGAGAGCACAGCCTGGGGCTCTGCCGGGGTGGTGGTCCCCACGCCTGGAGGAGTGAAGGGATTTTTAGTCCCTGAGGTGCAGTAAGGTAAGAATTTGGGGATCACTTGCTTGAGTCTTAGGACCCATGCCTGTGTTTTGAGATGCTCAACACAGCAGCTGAAGACACGTCATAGAGTAGAAGGCCATCTTCCGTAAGAGAAGGCTTCGTCCCCTCGTAGGGGACCATCAGAGCAGTGGGTTGAGGTGGGAAGTGTGCTGGTGTTTCCAGGAATGCTTTGAGAGAGCGTGTTGTCTTCCAGGCTTGCTCTGTTTTGTGGCTGGGATCACTGTTGTCGCACTGCACTACTTCAGCTTGGACCTACTGAAAACTTTCTTTGATCTCCGTGAGGACAAAGCAGAGGAATACCAGGAAATGACTAAAGTGTACATCAACCCTCATTTTGTGAACAAAGGACTGTCTCCTTCTCAGCCCTCTAAACTCAACCCCAACATCATCTAGAGGAAAGTTTTTCCCACTCCTTCCCAGAAGGTGGACCTGAAAGGTCAGAGCACAAACACTTCTTGACGTCCCCAGAGACCCATTCCCCATCCAACTGCCTCTGAGGAGTGCATAAGTCCACACTGGGATGAGTTCTTGCTGAAAAGGAACTTTGCAGACTGTATCTCCCTGACCATGCCTTCTGGAAAAGGGCTGGCTTTGCAGAGAGCCTGCAGACTGCAGTCGGAGCAGCCCACAGCTCCAGCAACTCGAGCTGCACGCTCCAGCTCCCACAGCAGAAACTGAGCTCACTGGTGAGATTTCTCACAGGGAGCACCCACTACTCCAAAAGCCAGTGATTAAACCTGCTCATTTCTTTCCCAAGCACTGATGTTTAGTGTAGACCTTGAGGCGTACCTAGAAAAGCCAGGCACAGACCCAGACTCTGTCAGGCTGGATGCTGCATGAGCTGGAGTAAAAAAAGCTGCTCCAGAAATAAACTGAGCAAAACTACAACGGAGTTTGAAAAGAATCATATCGCCACATCCTCCCTGGAACTTTTAAACTTGAGCTTTATTAGATAAGACTTGTAGGTTAAATAAGATTTATGGGCCAAAAATATGCCACAAGAAAGGAAGGAGCTGGAAGTTACCCCCATCCATCTGGAGCACATTTGGACTGGCTGGGCTCACTATAAAACGCAAGCCCAAGGCGAGGAGTCAGACCCAGCCAAGGTGAGAAATTAAGTGCATTAATTTGCGTTATTACAAACCGAAGATGGGCTCTGGCACCAAACCCACTGGCCTGATGAAGCCTCCATGGTCTGGTGCAAGGAGCCAGGTCCAATTGCCATATCTGAACGCTGAAGACCTGGGCAGCCTCAGTCCAATTAATTATCAAGGACGTCATTTCAGTATTGTAGCTCTTTTCTTTCGCAGAAAAGACCCTCACTGTTAAGTTACTTATTTCTTTCACGTGATATTTGTGCTGTGCTAATGTGATTTGTTACACACAAAAACTATTATTTTCAATAAAACTCTATTAAAAACCTGCTCCTTTGAGACCCTTTGGGGAGCTGGTTGCTTAAGAGGGGGCTGTGGGGCATATCTGCAGGTGCCTGCTTGCGAACCCCCAGCAGCAGCAACCTTCCCACGGAGGAACCTGCCCTGGCAGAGGTGCCCCCAAGAAAGGATTGGGCTCGCTGGCATGTGTCAAGGTGAGCCACTACAAAACCCTTGTCACGGGGTACAGCACGCTGCAGGGGTGTAGGAGAGCCTCAAAAGGACTCTAACTAGCTGAGCAGCAGGACAAAAGCCGTGAGATTAAACCAACAAAACTCCCTCAGGAAAAGGAGGATTCTTTCTCAAGTCTCTCCTGCGTCCAGACATGTCAGGTCTGGGGGTACCATGGAAAGATGCTACAACCAACCACAAGTTATTGGGGCTGGTGTGGGATAGATCCCATGCCCTGAAAGCACAGAAGCTGGGGGGTTTCCCATCCTTTCTGCCACCACATATGGAACTCTCCAGCCTCATCTCCTGCTTTTAGACAGGATTCCCCCTCCAACATCATCCTCACCAGAAGAAAAGTTCTGGCCTGTTGCATCAGACACACAGGGACATTGTTACAACCGGGACTGGGGGCCCTGGAAGTCAAAGGTTCTGTGATCCCTTCAGGTTAAATGAAAGTGAAACAACACCAAACGACTGGTTACAATATTTTACTTGCGGTAGAAACAACTTAAACTTGGAAAAGGATAGTAAGAAATGGGGTGTCTTATTGATGAATCTATAAGAAAGAAAAGAAAGGAAAGAAAAGGAAAGGAGAAGAGTCAGGTCGCCACTCTTCATTCCAGCTTGTCTCAGGTCCAGAAATCTTGGGTGATGGGTGTACCCACAGCAAAGTTTTCTGTTGCCTTTTGAGTTCATTTTATCAGCTGATTAGCATACTAGACCAAGAGAGCCAGGTATTCCACAAACTTATTTCCATGAGAGATGATGTGGTCTTGTTCTCTCCTACCACCTTTACTTCTTCCTCCGTTTTTATTTCTTCTTGGGTAATTGTCCAGCCTTTAGCTTTTCAGCCCTTTTTTGAGGCTTATCTAAGGAATTTAGCACTACATCAGCAAAGAACTGGAGCTGTGCATCCTTCGATACACTCTGCCCTTCCCTGGGCAGCATTCCTTAGACTAATCACAAAGGCCACAACTTGTCATTGATGCTTCTGTGTCCAGGAATATTTGAGGCATTGATTCCTCCAGTTCCTTACAGGCACAAACCCAAATAAACAAGACATAAGCAAAATTAATTCGGTCCATTTGAAGCACAGAGACACCAGATCAGATCTCTGTGTGTCTTGCCTGCTTCCTAGCAAACATGGGACAGGGGGGATTTCTGCAGCAGATCTTCCATGGGACCAACTGAGCAGTGGCAATGACATGATGAGGGCATGCTGTGTCCCATGCAGATCAGGGGGTCAGGACAACAGGGGCTGGTGGTGTCAAGGGGGCTGGCCACCTTCAAGGAGACTTGCAAGGAGACTTGCTGGTGGAGGACTTCTTCCCTTGCCACCACAGGGAGGTGAACGCACGAGGGTCATTGCTCAGGGATTATTATTTTGCCTCACATGTTGGTATATCAGCTTCTTCACGTGCACTATAAGAGCTGTGGTTATACGCCTCCTGGGCTGTGCTGCTGCAGGTCCTGACTGCTCCATCCACCACAGCTCCCAGCTGGACTGAGCTGTTGTTGGGCAACAAGATGTAAAATAATGGCCATTAAATCCCTCGGCCCAGGCTTTTCCTGGCCTCATGCTGTCAAGGGAATCCGTCATCTAACCAGAGAGTCGGCGCCAGAAACGGAGCAAGTGCCATAAGCACCTCAGAGAGCACAGCCTGGGGCTCTGCCAGGGTGGTGGTCCCCACGCCTGGAGGACTGAAGGGATTTTTAGTCCCTGAGGTGCAGTAAGGTAAGAATTTGGGGATCACTTGCTTGGGTCTTAGGACCCATGCCTGTGTTTTGAGATGCTCAACACAGCAGCTGAAGACTGGCAGTCATTGCCCCAGGGCAGCCGTGCCACCTAACAGGCAGCAGAGCTGCCCACCCGCCGGCCCTGCAGGCTGGGCTGCAAGGGGGAACACGCTGGGGAAAGGCAGAGGTTGACGAGGGCTGAATTTCAACTCAATAAATGAAAGGGGTTTGTTGCACCTGGGATCTAGTCCATCTGTATTCTGGTAGATGCCATTGGGAACATCCTGGCTGAGGTCTCCCAAGCCCAAGGAGTTCAACTTTCTTTAAATGCCCACTGGGCCCTCTAGGTCCTCATTGAAGGCTCTTCCATCCAGAATGGGATGGGGTGGGATGCCGTGTCTGAGCACCCCTTCCCCAGAGGGCCTGCCCCTTGGTGGTCCCTCTGCAAACCTCTCTGCTGGGGCTGGGAGCTGCTTCCATCAAACTTCCCACATGCCCAGGGTTACTCCAGGAGCTAAAGTCCTCCCATATCCCTCCTGCTCATTTGCCTGGGGATGCTCTGATACCCTATTTACTGCACACTGACTTGCCTTTATTGCCCTGGGCCAAGTAGCCCTGGTCAGATGCTCCATGCAGGACCATAAAACGGCTCTGCCTTTGCCTTCTTCCCTTCCCTGTGGCTGCCACCTCACAGCAACAGAACATCTCCAGCCTGCCAGCCCTCAGAGGGATGCCCCTATCAACCAACGAGGAAGAACAGTTCCAACTTACTTTATTGAGACAGAGGGGAAAATAAGTGAGCACAAAACAGAAATTAAAAAAAAAAAAAAAAGTTGCAAAACAGAGTTAAAGGGGTGCAAACCTGAAACGTGCTCCCTCCCCTTCCTCCCTGCGTGGGCAAGGTACCTGCTAGCTGTTAGCAGCCAGGAGTGGGTGGCTGCATCCACCTTGGGCTTGCAGGATTTCAGCGTCGCGTCCCCCATGACACACATATTTCCACAGCTGAGCAGGAGGAAACCAAGCCTCCCCAAACCGGTGTGATGCTCTTGCCAGTTGATTACAGTTGCCCTCTGGTGTACTGTAGCCCCTTCCATTCCCATTCTCCTCCTCTCCTCCCCTCTCACTGAAATGCTTTCTCTTCCTTTCAGATGGCTGCAAGAGCACTGATGATTTTGATGCTGCTCACAGGGTGGTGGATGTGGTTTGAGGTTTTTATAAGCGCTGTAAGAAACAGGAGCCAACCAGCCAGCTCCCTGACTCTGCCGTTTCCAGCCCAGTGTACAGACTAGCACATCTCAGACTTACACTGAACTTGAGCTGTGGGGATGTCAGGTTGGGTCTGAAATCCAGGAGGCCTCCAAGATCTGGTACCTCCAGTAACCTACTAAATCGTGGGCCTCCTTGCCAACCCGCTCTTCACCCCAGACCAAGAGGAGGTGCTGGGGACGGGGCACCATGGTGAGCACATCTCCACTCGCTCTCCCTGACCACTGATGGGAAGAGCATCCCTGGGCAGAGGGGACTTCTTGGGGACCTTCAGGATGGAGGTGCCACTGTGGGGGCTCTGCTTCTCCTTTGGTTCCTATCTATGCACCTGCAGTTATTTGGTTTCTCTCCATTTTGTTCCGGTTTAGTCTCTGTATCTTAGGAAGGACTCTTAGGGTTTGTTGGGGATGGACTAAGGGAAAGGCAGTAGCCCAGTGCCTGTAACTGGACAGCCAGGGATGGAGCATGGATTCTCCTCACCCCAAAAGTTCTTCCAGCTGCTGGTGAGTAAAAAAGCAGGAGAAAAAAAAAAAAAAAAAAAAAGAAAGAAAAAAGAAAAAAAAAAAAAAAAAGAGGGCAAACTGTCATATTTGAGACACCTTCACCTTTCCAGACTTGGATATTCTCGTTACCTGGCTCTTGTGTCTCTTCCCACCTGGGCTCCTGGTGGGGTTGGACCAGAGTGTGAATTCAGGAGGGGTGTCTTCAGGCTTTGCTCTGCCTCCTCCCAGTGCTTACAGCTGGGTGGTTGTCACCTCGCAGAGTTCACCCAGGGGGACCATCAACGTGTCCTGTGCAGAGGAGCTGGGCTTGGCTGGCAGGTGGGACTTGTTCCACCCCTCCTCTTCTTCTCCCTTTCCCTTGTCCAGGTTAAAGACAAGCTTCAGCTTCTCTGGCTGCAAGGAGTTCAGGATGATGACGCCCAACCCCAGCAGCAGGCACAACAGCCCTGCAACGCACAGCGTGGGGAGACAGGTTAGCTCCTCCTGCCCGCTGTGTCCCAGCCCCATCCAGTCCCAGGTCTGGGGTTGGAGGCCAACAGCACGATGCATCATCCAGGAGGTCAAGGGAAGGCGTTCTTTCCCTCTCCACATCTGGACTCTGCCATCAGTTTGGGCTCCCCAGTACAAAAGGGAAGTTAATGAACTGGGGCAGATGGTCAAGAGAGTTGGGGCTGGAGTCCACCATGTAGTGGGAAAGGCTGGAGGAGCTGGGCTTGTTTAGATTTAAAAAGAGGATTCTACAGGGGAACCTAATTGTCATCTTCTGCTAATGAAAAAGAGCCAGTCTCTTCATGGAGGTGCACAGTTGTAACATGGGAACTTCCAGTTTGATAAAAAGAAATAATTGCTGCCCATGAGTGGGACAGCTGTGGGGCAAGGTCCTGAAAGGAAGAGGGGATCGCTAACCGTGGGGACATCCACCACCAGACTGAACAAGGTTGATGTGGCTTTGAGGTTAGTTCCTGCTCTGGGCAAGGGCTGAGAGAGACACCCCCAAGGGTCCTTCCAGGCCAGGTCTTTCTCTGTCTCTGCCATTTAAGATTTTCATGGCATTCCTCTGGGCACACCTCCACGCACATAACTTTGGCCATTCAGGTCTCCAGCTCGGTTTTTTCCCCTGGTCTTAATGAAGCTATCCTAAATTCTTGTGTGCCATTGGAAAAAAAAAAAAAAATCATTTTCTGTGACCAGCTATGGAGACATTTCTGGGTCATCGCTGAACGTTCTCACTGCAGGGATGGAGAACAAAAGCCCCAAGCTGAGCAAGCTGAGCACTTACCTGTTGCTAATGTCAGCCAAAAGGATCCACCGTAGTCTGTTTTCAGGGAAGCTGGGCCAAACTGGACGGGACACTTCGGAGTGTTCCTCGCAGTGAAGAAGAGCAGTGAGGAGAGCATCAGCACGGCAGTGAGCAAGAGCATGCAGGCGCCGTAGAGCAGGATGGGCATGGAGAACAGTAGAATGGAAATGAGCCATGTGCAAAAGGCCATCCTGTGAAAGGACCGCAGAACTGAGCAGAAGGCGTCAGGCTTGGAACCTGTTCTCAAGGTGTCCCCCTCCACGTCCCAATGGAGGGATGCAGCCCTGGGCAACCTGCTCTCCAGCTGGCCTTGGCTGAACAGTTAGGCTGGAGAGGCTGGTCTAAGGACTTCCCTTCCAACCCAACCGATTCTGTAACTGCATGAACGGTGGAGCTGTGGGACAGGTCCTGCAGTGGTGGAGAGGGACTGCCATGCCCTGGGGACATTCAGCATTGAACTTCAGGAAGCCCCAAGCACCTTGATAAGGCTTTGACCTCATCTCTGCTCTGGGTGGGGGACTGGAGTAGTAATCTCCGGAGGTCCCTACAAATTAACTCTTTCTCTGTCTCTTGTGGTCCTCCACAGCTGCTCCCCAGAGAGTTCCCATCTGTTCAAAGGAAGACTGGTAACAAAGGAGATCTTTGTTTGGAGAACCATGCAAGGAGCCATGCCCACATCTGACTCAACACCTGGAGTGGACCCAGCTTCCAGCCCTGCCCTGTGCGTGGGGTTTGGGTTTAGCTTGCTGAGGAGGTGAGCTTAAGAAATTTTTCTGATTCCAAGAATAATAACAAAATATGAGTTTACATCAACATCCCTGCCTTGAAATATTTCTTCTCAATAGCAGGAATGTTTGGGCAGGGCTAGTTATGTTTCCTGAAAATAAAAAAAGGACATTTGGGCAGGGATCTGGAGTCTATATCCATAGGGAGAATCACAAGACTCACTCTTCCCTGCATTGCCTTTCCCACGACCTCAGAGACATATGCGGATGCTCTGAGACTCCACAATCACAACATACACAGATTTACACCCAAGACAGCCTCTGAGCACCCAGTGAGGTCCCTCCTACTGCCCACCAGCAGTTCTCATGCCCTCTTGGGCATGCAAGAGGAACCCTCCCTCACAGCTGGTCTTATTGGGCCTCCACATCTTGCTTGGGAGAGGACCTTGCACCATAAGCACCACACAGCTGAATCTACTTTCCTTTAAATGAAGAAAATTTTTTCTCCAACTGTAGTTTTTCACATTAGGGCAGAGAAGACAGAAGAGGATGCTGGGAAGGTGGGCAGGGCAGGAAGCACAAGCATCCCTGGTTCTGCAGAAAGGTGGATGCCAGAGATCAGCCAAGCCTTTGGCATGGCCTTGCAGGGAAGATCATGGCTCCATCAAGCTCCCTCTGCTCTACCTGGTTCTTTCCACCTCCCCGCTGAGCAGAGATAGGGCTGACCTCTTACTCTAACTTACCACAGTGTGAGGGATGTGTAGTGGCTGGAGATGCGGTACTGCTTGTGCATGCCACAGGGGCTTTGTGTGGTGAACTTCTCTGCCACATAGAGGATGGGGCTGGGCAGCCCCTTCTCCAGACCTTTATCATAGCTGCGGTCATAGTCTGCATGGAAGCTCCAGTCAAAGTGCTCGTTGTAGTTGATGGTCTCATTGAGCTGATTCACCGGGTTTCCTGCCAGATGATGAAGACTAAGGACCCTTCTCAGCCTTGAAGGCAGCTCCAAGACTTCCTTGTGTGGGGGCTTAAGGACCCACAGCCCCAGTACTCAGGTGCACGGCTGCCAAACGTGTCCCCAGTCCCCTCCTGTTGAGCTATGCACTCACCCACCAGTGTGACGTTCACCCCTGCCAGGCCAATGTGCAGCCCGATGTTCACGTTCACCAGAGCATGGCTGAAGGATTTGTAGGAGGTGTTTGCTGCCACCCAGCCGGTCTCCCAGTCCCTCGTGAACTGTACGGCTGTGAAGACTTCAAAGGTTAGTCATGGCCTGGTGCCGAGACATCTAGTGCTGGAAGCACCTGCTATGATGGTCACCGTGGCCTGAGCATCATCTGCCCCATCCCAAGCACAAGGCCAGGGTTGTGAATCCCAAGGAGCAGAAGCCTTGTATGTCCTTCCCCAACATCAATCCCAACCCATGACCCTGAGAGCCCCACTTGGGTTGGTTTCTCCCCAGGCCCAGTGCAGTCCCTAGCCCTAGAGGCAATGGGGCTGATGTGTGGACACCGTCCAAGCAATGGTCCTCATCTAAAACCTGCAAATTTGCCTGGGTCCCCTGGTAGCTGGTGGTGGGTTTTTGGTGACAGCCCTGGAGATGCTCTGCACATATGACCACCAGCCTCCAGAGAGGAGACAGATGGACGCTTGAACATCCCACCACTTTCTGGATCCAGGCCCCAGATACAGATGGAGGTCGGTCTTCCCCATGAATTCCTCCTGCGGGCTGGACTTGGCACTTGGCTGCTCTGTTCACCCTCCCTCGCCTTGCTCCTCCATCCCCTGTGTCTTGGGCATCTTTGAACTTCCCTCCCAGGACTCCGGTACTCACTGAGGACCACCGCTCCTGTGAAGAGGCCCATCACCACCCGCAGGAACCAGAAGAGTCGCTGCAACGAGTGAGCAGAGGAGGGGGGACAGGGTCTCAGTCAGATTTTGTCGTGGGGACTTCAGCACCAAGCATGTAATTTAGAAATGCCAGCTGGTGAGAAACGGGTCTGTTCCTCCCTTGGAGAGTCACCCCACGGGCTCTGCAGGCCGGTGGCGTGGTGGGGATGCGCGGCTGGGACATTCCTGCCAGCGGTGGGGAGAAGCAGCCAGGAGATCCAGGAAGAGCAAGAAGGTCAAAACAGCCCATTTGGGAAAGCTGTGCTGTTCCCTTTCTGGGAAGGAGGATGGAGATGCTCCCTTAATAGTTCTGAGCTGGAATTTCCGCACTTATCCAAGTGGATGTGTTGGCAGCTGGCTACAGCTGGAGACAAAAGCTGTGGCCAGAGGTTTGCAGTGTGTCCCCTGGGGGGGAGAGAGAGGCCTCTCGGCCAGCTCCGCGGCAAAGCCACGGGTGTGACGAGCATGTGGCACGCTAGCAGTGGGCTCGCAGCGGGTTCGGCTGGCCACTGCCCCACGAGCAGTGCTGGGGCACGCGTGGTGCACGCCTCTTTCTTTTGTTGGGGTTTTGGGGAAGGTGGAGCGAGGTCTTTGAGCCTCACCCTGGTTTTCCACTCCTGTGAAATCACTGGAGCTTACTCACAGCAAAATTCAGCTAAGCTCATATCTGGGCATCTCATAAATTTGGGATGGTGGAGTGTGGTGTGTCCAGCATGGGTGTATATGCTGGGTTGGGCTCAAGCTCATCCCCATGGCTCGCTAGGGATCCCAGAGCCCTGGCCATGAATCTGTGGGCGTGTTTGCTCCCCAAGTCTGTTTCCCTGGCTGTTAAGGGGGACGCATGTGGGATGCATAAGTCAGGGACCAGCGAGCTGAGCTCCCCCAGCCCCTCCACTTACCCCCCTGCCCCGGATCCCTGGCAGGATGATGATGAAAGTGGCCAACACGGAGAGGAAGACAGAGATGATGACGGCCCGGGTGGTGTCAAAGGGGAAGCACTCCTTGGCACCAGGATAGAAGGGGAAGGTTCCGTTCCACAGCGTCATCCTGCTGCCCAGGAAGGCTGGAAATCAGCACCTGGAGAGACACTGGAGAGAAAATCACACCCACACTTCCAGCCCACCCAGCCTTCCCCGCAGAGCCATCTCCTGCCTGCTTGCCAGCACCCTGCTTGTCCCGGGCATGACTGTGCGTGCATCTCCAGTGCCCGTGCAGATTGCTGTCCCGCGTGTGGGCGTATGCTCAGGCACCTCCCAGAGGAACCCTCTGTCTCCCCAGGATCCGTCCCAGGGCAAAACAGGTTTGGAGTCACCAGGCCACCCGCCACAATGCTCAGACTGTCCCCAAGATGCGACAGCAAGACATGCACAGAGGGCTGGGCCTCTCACTCCCCTCCCCTGCCTGCTCTCGACCCCTGGTCTCTTGCCTGTGCTCCCACCCTCCCTGGTTCAGCATTTTCTCAAACAGCCTGGCTCCTGCTTGCGGGTGTTGCGCTCAGGGCGCTCGGTGAATCACCGCACAAACGTGGGCTGCTCCTCGCTGAGCCCTGGACGGAGGTAAGTCCTCGCCGTCCAAGGAAACAGGAGTGACCTGGAGGAGACAGAAACTGCCTGTCCCTGGCAGCAGGTTGCCACTCGCCACTCGCCAACCCTCTGTCCCAGGAGCCAGCTGGAGGCAATGCCGTGCTGCAGCAAGGCGCAGGGACGCTGCTCGAGAAGCCAGCCGTGGTTTTCGCCACCGCGCTTGGCCAAGGCACTTCCCTGCTAGGAGAGGGCTGCTCAGCACCCCTCCCAGGAGCGGGGACCAGCCCAGGAGCAGCTACAGAAACACCCGTGCCTCTTTCCCTGTGCCGAGCCTACCTCTGCCGTGGCCGATCCCGAGGGCTGGCTGCTGCGCAGAGCTGCCGTGTGCTCCGAGATGCCGCCTTCCTTCCCACGCCGCCTCCCCGGGGCAACGGGCGAGAAACCAGCCCGGCGTGGCACGGTTGTTTTTCCCCCAGCGTCTTTGACGTGCCTGCCTCCAGAGGTGGCTGGATGGTGCAGCCTTACCCACGGCTGATCGGCCCCCCCCCCGGCCCTCCCGCTGAGCCCCAGGGCATGGCAAGGGAGCTCCAGGCTGGCACGGTGCCAGGCAGCGTTGCAGAGGTGAGGGATCCCCGGGGTGGATTTACCTTCCTTTCCTCAACTCTTCCTGCAGAGCAGGGAAAAGTCCAGCTGTTCCTTGTGGCACAAAACCCCTGGGGCTGCTGGGCTCCTCAGGAGCCCGCTGGGGAGAGCAGCAGAGGGTTTCAAAGCCCTCGCCTGCACTGCCCAGTGAAGCATCCCAGCTGAGGTCATCTAGAGTGGGTTGTGGCTGCACGATCTCCTCGCTGACCCTGCTCCTGACTCCATCCCCTGGGGGAGGTTCCCTGCGAAGGTCCTGACCGACCTCTTGGTCACTGGGCAAGGTGACACAGAGGATGGCAAGGGGGGGACCAGCAGAGAGGCAACGGAGCTGGAGGGGCTCCCGGCCACGTTATGCGGAAGATTATCAGGTTACTAACCTGGCCATGGTGTGGAGATCATGAAAATTCAAGTTTTTGGGGTTTGCTCTCATTCTTTGGCATTTTGGTTGGCTGAAGCAGGTTGCATTGATGCTGAGCGGTCCCAGTGTAGCAAAAAAACTCTCCTGACCCACATCTGGGGGCTTCCCTCTGAAGCTGGCAAAATTACTGCCATCCCCTCGGTCTTTCTTTCTGCATCCCAGCAGATGGCCTGGCTGGGCGCCCTGAAAAGCTGTGCTTCCCACCCTCTGGGCAGAGGGAGGTAAAAACAAGTTTTAATTCATGCCCATCAGGAAATAAAGGCATTTCTGGGCGAAGACTTTGCTATTTCCCCTCAAGTCCCAGACTGGTGCTATCCAGGCTGAACACTAAATCCCTCTCCAGGGATTGTTTAAAAAAATTAAATAAAGGGTAGCAAGGGTGACATGGCTGGGAAACACGTGTTCAGAGCAGGGGTGTCTGCTGATGCAGGTAATGCTGGGGATGTGGCGTTAGCTCCAGCTCTGGCAACATCTGCAATGCAGAGGAAGAGGTGGACTTGACAGCAAATGACGCAGATCCTTGGGGGTGACTGCCTGGACATGTGTGGGGCTTTGGACCTCTTGGAAGGGTGGAAATACCTCCCCCTCCAGTGTGGAAGAGGGATAACCAAGGAGGCGCCTGGCAATTGGGAGGCTGAGGATAATTAAGGTGGGGAAGATGAAAGCGTGTGCGGTGGTACGCAGGATGCGAAGTAGCCTGGCTGTCACTTGCTGCACTCCCTGGAGCTGGGAGAGGCAGCAGAGGTATGGGCTCTGCACTGGCTTAGCCACAATAATGGATGGGGTTTGCCTGGGGAAGAGATTGAGGCGCTGTGGGTTTTGTGCTGTTCAGACAAGCATTGCAAACGTGTCTCTTGGGGAGATGCCCTATTGCAAAAGATGAAAGCAGTGGGGAGGACGTTTCCCTCCTTCTCTAAAGGAGATGCCCAGCAACGCAGTGTTTGAGTGCAAGGACACTGAGGGAGCTCACAGGGCTCCTCTGGTTCCCTCATCTGTCCCCAGCAGTGGTGGGAATGGGGTCTGATGGTGGTTGAGAGATATTCCACTTCCGTGGGGTGTTGATGGGGTTGTGGGCTGGCAAACGTGGGAAAACTGCTGGATTTACTCCTCACCCAACACTCTGCATCCACAAACAACAGGTCTTACAGAAAGCCCGAGGCCATGATGATAACTTGGTTTTAGAGGTTTTTCTCCTCTCTTTTTAATTTTCTGAGTATTCCTGCAAGTAGTAAAGGTGTGTGGTTCGTCAGACAGTTTCCAGGCAACAGGTCCGGGGACTTGTTCTTGCTCCCCGGGACCTTGCAGCCTCGCGTTCGGGACACTGCTCCCACCGTCAGCACCCTGCCCCTCGCTTGGGCAGCCCTCTTGTGTTGGGCAGTTTCTGCTAAACACACTTGCAAGCGATGGACGAGGTGATTAGGGGTGAGTCACCCACCCCAGGTCACCTGAGGGAGGTGGGGGTGAGGGGAACAGCACCCGTCACCTCTTGCACAAGCCTCCACGCAATGCTGGATCATCTCTTGCAAGGCGGGGAAGGTGTGGGGACATGCCTGGGCAGGGAGGCAGTTTTGGGGATGGAGAGAGAGCCCCAGGAGGATGCTTTTTGCTCAGAGGATTTCTGCCTGACCCATCGGTGCCAGTGGGACAGACGTGGTACTTGTGTCTAGCTGTCAGCCTGCCCCACTGGTTGTCCCCACTGCCCCTCTGTCCCGCTCCCCAGCGTGGAGGATGCTGCAGCTGGGGTCAGGCTGGGGCTTTGTTGTGATGGAGCCTGTCCAGCTTCCCATCCTGGTGCTTGGATGCAGCTCCTTGCCCGGGATTCTTTGCAACACTTGAATGACCCATGGTGGAACAGCTTGCAGAGAAGGACAGGAGAAAGGATGGAGGAGGGACACCCCCCCCTCGGCCAGTTCCCACCTGGCTGAGCAGAGAGGTTCACGGTGCCATGGCCACGGTTTGGCTTTAGATATATTCACAAGGCAGATCTGTTTTTCCAGCTCTGCCTGTAAGTTGCTTCAGGATTTTGAGAGAAAGGGAAGGTGGTGCTGCCCACTACACTGCCCGGCGAGCTGGGTTTCGTATCTCATGATGGAGACAGTCCAGGGTCTGTTGAGAGGGCTGCCAGGAGATGGAGGCAGAGCTCAGCAGGAGCCACCCATCATTCTAGTGGGAACTGAAACAGGAGGGCTTTCAGCCACGCTTTGAAGAAGTCCTCATCCAGGAATTGTGTTGAGTGTTCAGCCCTCTGATCCTTCCAGGAGCCATCATATAGGAGAGGAACACGTCCCCTATGGCCTGGACCTTCAGAGGCGCTTGCCAGGAAGAGCATCATACCTGGGGCTGCCTCATCACCTTTGCTCCCAGCCCCAAACAGGCTGTCAGCTCCTGCCAGAGCTGTTGCAGGATTCCACATGCTCTCAGCGGCCCAGGGGACAGAGACCCAGCTGCCCCATTGCCCTCCTGAATATCTCCATCCTGCCCAGAGACCCCTGTGGACACTGAGACCGGTGCCTGGGATGGGGTAGGGGACACCCCGATGTGTGGGCTGGGGCTGGAGCCAGTCCCCATTCCTTCCCAAGTGTCATGCCCCTTGCTGGGATTGCCCAGCCTGGATGAGGAGCTGCGGGTCCGGCCCTTCTCTCCAGTTTGACAGAGCCCAGGTGCCCCTTCCAGGCTGCCCTGATCCCAGTGTTGCAGCTCTGCAAAAGCCGCCAGAGAAGAGGGATACGGGGAGGGAGTGTCGGAGGGTCTGAGCGGGTACCCTGATACCCTGGGAGAATGGAGGAGCGGGGGAGGACATCACTTCCCATCTTGCATCTCCGTTAGAGATGTTGCCTCTCCACTAAAGAGCAAACGGTGTTGCCAGTGCCCAGATTGCCTCTTCAGCCTCGTCCCCGAGGGTCTCGCTCATCTGACAGAGCTTTGGTGCCCCGGCATGAGTGTGGGGAAGTGCATCAGCCTTTGGGACACATCTCACCAGGGATTTACCATCCCCGCTCGGGGAACCCTGTCCCTGCAGATAACAGCCATTCCTGCCATGACACAACTATCAGCAAGTTGAGCTTTTCCAGGCTTTGCTGGGGCTTGTTAATGATGCACTGTGTGGTAATTAGCGCTTTCATCCCAGGCTGCAACTTAGAGAGAAGCTTTCTTTTGTAATCCCAGTTGTTAGAGGCCTAATTAAAGTGATACGTATTTTTCCATTGAGTTCTTGTGCCTAGCGTCTTTCTGCCAGCCTTGAAATTCATGCACAGAGCAATGCTACCCCACCTCGGACTGTGATGCAGGTCTGTGTCTGAGCACACACAGGCACTCTGCCCCCCACATCCTGGCTGTGGGTAGATTTGCATATCTGTTTGTCCCATCCAGGCAAAAGTGCCAATAGCACGTGGTGTAATAAAAAATCATGTATCTGTCTGAAAAGCAGCAGAAAGGTCTGAGGGCTGCTTTGCAGTGTGTGGACAGAAATATTGTAAGATAAATTGCAAACAACTTCTTGATTAATATTAAAAAAAAATATAAATCCATAGAGTCAAGGTAGTCTGAAAGCAGAGATGGGGTGCAACAAGTGGTTCAATCCATCTGGAACCAGCGCAGATTTTTGTAGGGCTTGTGGAATCCCCTTCCAAGTGGTTTTGATCTTGCAAGACCCCCTCGCTGTCCCAGAGCCCTACAAGGACCTCTTATAAACTCAGAGTCCCTCCACTTGGACTTGGACTACCTCCTGCTGGGGGTGAGCTTGCAGATCTTGGAGCGTGAGGACAAACATTGTGGTGGAAGATATCCAAGGCAGATCTGAGGTTGGCTGGGTCTGCCCTGCATGTTTTCTACCAGCTTTGGGTGTCACAGGGGCTTCTGGGTTGGGGTGCAGTGCTCTTCCCACCCAGTGGTCCTGTCCCACCAAGCATCAGCTAGGGATAGTGTCCTGCAGATGGTGACAGTCCTGCTGTGAGAGGCTGAACTAGAGACCTTCAGAGGTCCTCCCACTGGCATTTACAGGAACCTGGTGGCCCTCTTCCTCCTACCATAGTCTCACAGACCTCCCAGCAGAGCTGGTTCCCTAAAACCTTTCAGGGCATGTGTCTCCCATCTTTCCAAAGGGCACAGGGCAGGGGAGGAAGCCGGCCCTTCATGGAAGGACATGGTCTTTGAGGTCCAGCACTGCCATCTGGATATTCCCAGGCAAGAAGAACAGAGCCGACCTTGGCCCAAGTCCTGGATGTGTATTCCCATCAGTCCTCCTGCCCTGCTGGGAGCTCTCTTAGCCCTTCCCTTCCCATGCCGTTTGCATCCAGGTCCTGGAGCAAGTTGCTGCCCTCCACATCAGCAGCATGGCCAGGCTGGAGCTGCTCTCCAAGGGCACGCTGCAGGCTGGTGGCTCCCTCGTCAGTGCCACCACCTCGGACTAGTTTGTGCAACAGATTTTGGCTTGAAAACGTCCGGAAA